TACTCGTTGGATTAATCAGACAGGTTTTGCCCCGACCCGGTTGGCCCGACCCGGTTGGCCCGACCCGGTTGGCCCGACCCGGTTGGCCCGACCCGGTTGGCCCGACCCGGCTGGCCCGACCCGGTTGGCCCGACCCGGTTGGCCCGACCCGGCTGGCCCGACCCGGCCCGACCCGACCCGGCCCGGCCCGGCCCGGCCCGGCCCGGCCCGGCCCGACCCGTGGCCCGACCCGTGGCCCGACCCGTGGCCCGACCCGTGGCCCGACCCGTGGCCCGACCCGTGGCCCGACCCGTGGCCCGACCCGTGGCCCGACCCGTGGCCCGAGCCGGCTGGCCCCGTGCCGGCTAGCTCGACCCGGCTGGCCCGACCCGTGGCCCTACTCATCAAAATATTACAGGGACCAGAAATGAAAAAAGTCCGAAGATCATTATTTTCTACTAGTAATCTCACTCGTGCGATGCACGGAATGAGATGTTTTTTTTAAATTGTATTTCTGCTATTCATTGACGAAACTAAACAACATCACTAAACAATGTCATGCAATAAAGATACACAAAAAGCAATACACAAAACACATCTTTAGTATTATTGTGAAAATGAGATTACAAAAACATCACACTAATACGTCTAAACCGTGACGTTGTAAATATCCGTTTCAAGCAACCCTAAACATTATTGAGAACTTCTTTTAATACCACACTTTGAGTCTTGTTAGTGGTTCCTCCATTATCATCAACAATTAGAATTTTCAAACCACATCGGTTGGTCACCCTCAAAATTGCAATATACAATTGTCCGTTGTAAATGACTGGTTTTTATGTATTTTATAATTGTCCGAGTCTAGTTTGGTGCTATCAAGTATAGTCTGGCGTGATCTAATCTCAAGCACTTTTTTCAAAATCACTTTTTTCTCAAGCACTACCAACTTTTACTATTAATCACTTTTTTACTAAATCATTTAAAAAAGTTAAAATCACTTCCCAGTTGGGTTTACGGATTTGGTTTTTACTTTTTAGTTGGTTAAACCAATTCCCTTATTTCTTACTAAGTATTTATTTTTTTCAAAGAAACTATGAAGTAATTTTCATTCTTTGACAACTGTTATTTTAAATTATTATTTTTTCAGAAATTTATTTTAAATTGGTTTGAGTTGCGGACGAGATAGGTCTTCACCACCTTGCTACCTGCCGACCTGCGTTGGGTCCCTATCAGCTACCCTACAAAAATACGGCCCTTAGTGTACTCTATTTCTATAAGGTACTCTATTGTTGAGCCTAAGCCTACCTTAGTGTAAATTAACTCGTAAATTATAGAGTTTATTTTTATTATCATTTGTGTATCAAGTGTGATACTCCGTATTTTTTGTTTCAACTTCCAAACCTTTGAAAATGAGAAAACAACCGTACATTGAACCCTAACTATATATACCCCATTTATAACACTGCTCACTATATATACTACTGCTCTCACTTAGACTGAACCTATCTCTTACTCTTCAATCCTTGAGATGGGTCCAGTAGCAACAGTCTTACTACTTGTTTTCGGTTTGATTCTTTGTTTTTGTGTTTTATGTGGACTTTTCATCTCGTGGAAAGAAAAAATATGTTGACTTTGCAGTTTGTCTTTTAGGTGTGTATACACTTGTATGGTTCATTAGTATCTTTTTAGATACTATGGTGGAAGATATATGGATGAGTTGTGTTGCTATTCTTCTCCATAACTTTGTCAACCTTGTTAGTCTTGTTTTCTGGGGTTCCGTATCTTACCTAGCTTCTAGGGGTAGTAATCCTACCCCTAGAAGAATTTATTTCAAGGAACTAATTATATGGAGTGTAATGTTGATTATGAGTGTTGTTGAACTCATTGTTTTTGTCTGCACCACAAACCCATTATCTGAAGAAAAAAATCCCTCTCCAAGTACAAAATGCTCTAAAAATGTTGATAGGTTATACCCTATTGTCATCAGAGCTATGACAGTTGGAGAAAACTGGGTGATGAAATATTCAGATTTCAACTACCGAAGGAAGATGCCAGAAAAGGTTCGGCGGCTTGGAGGGTTGTATGAAGAAATGGTGGAATAGTGCATGGGGCTTTCTGATAATCAAATAGATCATGTTGCAATCGAAGAGTCATTCACAACTTTTGTTTCGAGTGCAGAAAGTCATGTGGGGATTAAACTGAGGGCACCAATGAGGCTGCCGGAAGCACTAGAGAGTGTGACGGAGGAAGTTGCAGATCCAGGGATTGTGCCGGAAGCTGAAACAGAGATTGTGCCAGAAGCTGAAACAAAGATTGTGCCAGAAGCTGGACAAGAGATTGCAATGTTTGGGGATGGAAGCTCACTGCAAGAAGTTGGAAGCCTCCCACGCACAAGGAGTTTGCCACTGCCGGTACTGGAATGTCGAGAGAGGCAACCTCCCAGACCCAAAAGTGAGGAGATAAGAAGTCGTGGAATGGCGGAGGTGTAAACACTGTGAGGTAGTGAGGTAGTAGTCAGCAGTATTAGTTTCTTCCTTTTTCATTCAGTTGTGGTCTAGTGATCTACTCGAATGTGTTTATCTCGGCGTTATGTGTTTTTTACTTTTTCTATTAGACAAAAAACACTTAATTTACCAAACACCACCAACTTTTACTTTTCAAAATCACTTTTTTCTCAAGCACTACCAACTTTTACTATTAATCACTTTTTTACTAAATCATTTAAAAAAGTTAAAAGCACTTCCCAGTTTGGTTTACGGATTTGGTTTTTTACTTTTTAGTTGGTTAAACCAATTCCCTTATTTCTTACTAAGTATTTATTTTTTTCAAAGAAACTATGAAGTAATTCTCATTCTTTGACAACTGTTATTTTAAATTATTATTTTTTCTGAAATTTATTTTAAATTGGTTTGAGTTGCGGATGAGATAGGTCTTCGCCACCTTGCTACATGCCGACCTGCGTTGGGTCCCTATCAGCTACCCTACAAAAAATACGGCCTTATTGTACTCTATTGCTATAGGGTACTCTATTGCTGAGCCTAAGCGTACCTTAGTGTAAATTAACTCGTAAATTATAGAGTTTATTTTTATTATCATTTGGGTATCAAGTGTGATACTCCGTATTTTTTGTTTCAACTTCCAAACCTTTGAAAATGAGAAAACAACCGTACATTGAACCCTAACTATATATACCCCATTTATAACACTGCTCACTATATATACTACTGCTCTCACTTAGACTGAACATATCTCTTACTCTTCAATCCTTGAGATGGGTCCAGTAGCAACACTCTTACTACTTGTTTTCGGTTTGATTCTTTGTTTTTGTGTTTTATGTGGACTTTTCATCTCGTGGAAAAAAAAATATGTTGACTTTTCAGTTTGTCTTTTAGGTGTGTATACACTTGTATGGTTCATTAGTATCTTTTTAGATACTATGGTGGAAGATATATGGATGAGTTGTGTTGCTATTCTTCTCCATAACTTTGTCAACCTTGTTAGTCTTGTTTTCTGGGGTTCCGTATCTTACCTAGCTTCTAGGGGTAGTAATCCTACCCCTAGAAGAATTTATTTCAAGGAACTAATTATATGGAGTGTAATGTTGATTATGAGTGTTGTTGAACTCATTGTTTTTGTCTGCACCACAAACCCATTATCTGAAAAAAAAAATCCCTCTCCAAGTACAAAATGTTTTAAAAATGTTGATAGGTTATACGCTATTGTCATCGGAGCTATGACAGTTGGAGAAAACTGGGTGATGAAATATTCATATTTCAACTACCGAAGGAAGATGCCAGAAAAGGTTCGGCGGCTTGGAGGGTTGTATGAAGAAATGGTGGAATAGTGCATGGGGCTTTCTGATAATCAAATAGATCATGTTGCAATCGAAGAGTCATTCACAACTTTTGTTTCGAGTGCAGAAAGTCATGTGGGGATTAAACTGAGGGCACCAATGAGGCTGCCGGAAGCACTAGAGAGTGTGACGGAGGAAGTTGCAGATCCAGGGATTGTGCCGGAAGCTGAAACAGAGATTGTGCCGGAAGCTGGACAAGAGATTGCAGTGTTTGGGGATGGAAGCTCACTGCAAGAAGTTGGAAGCCTCCCACGCACAAGGAGTTTGCCACTGCCGGTACTGGAATGTCGAGAGAGGCAACCTCCCAGACCCAAAAGTGAGGAGATAAGAAGTCGTGGAATGGCGGAGGTGTAAACACTGTGAGGTAGTGAGGTAGTAGTCAGCAGTATTAGTTTCTTCCTTTTTCATTCAGTTGTGGTCTAGTGATCTACTCGAATGTGTTTATCTCAGCGTTATGTGTTTTTTACCTTTTCTATTAGACAAAAAACACTTAATTTACCAAACACCACCAACTTTTACTTTTCAAAATCACTTTTTTCTAAAGCACTACCAACTTTTACTATTAATCACTTTTTTACTAAATCATTTAAAAAAGTTAAAAGCACTTCCCAGTTGGGTTTACGGATTTGGTTTTTACTTTTTAGTTGGTTAAACCAATTCCCTTATTTCTTACTAAGTATTTATTTTTTTCAAAGAAACTATGAAGTAATTCTCATTCTTTGACAACTGTTATTTTAAATTATTATTTTTTCAGAAATTTATTTTAAATTGGTTTGAGTTGCGGACGAGATAGGTCTTCGCCACCTTGCTACCTGCCGACCTGCGTTGGGTCCCTATCAGCTACCCTACAAAAATACGGCCTTAGTGTACTCTATTTCTATAGGGTACTCTATTGTTGAGCCTAAGCCTACCTTAGTGTAAATTAACTCGTAAATTATAGAGTTTATTTTTATTATCATTTGTGTATCAAGTGTGATACTCCGTATTTTTTGTTTCAACTTCCAAACCTTTGAAAATGAGAAAACAACCGTACATTGAACCCTAACTATATATACCCATTTATAACACTGCTCACTATATATACTACTGCTCTCACTTAGACTGAACATATCTCTTACTCTTCAATCCTTGAGATGGGTCCAGTAGCAACAGTCTTACTACTTGTTTTCGGTTTGATTCTTTGTTTTTGTGTTTTATGTGGACTTTTCATCTCGTGGAAAGAAAAAATATGTTGACTTTGCAGTTTGTCTTTTAGGTGTGTATACACTTGTATGGCTCATTAGTATCTTTTTAGATACTATGGTGGAAGATATATGGATGAGTTGTGTTGCTATTCTTCTCCATTCGAGTAGATCACTAGACCACAACTGAATGAAAAAGGAAGAAACTAATACTGCTGACTACTACCTCACTACCTCACAGTGTTTACACCTCCGCCATTCCACGACTTCTTATCTCCTCACTTTTGGGTCTGGGAGGTTGCCTCTCTCGACATTCCAGTACCGGCAGTGGCAAACTCCTTGTGCGTGGGAGGCTTCCAACTTCTTGCAGTGAGCTTCCATCCCCAAACACTGCAATCTCTTGTCCAGCTTCCGGCACAATCTCTGTTTCAGCTTCTGGCACAATCTCTGTTTCAGCTTCCGGCACAATCCCTGGATCTGCAACTTCCTCCGTCACACTCTCTAGTGCTTCCGGCAGCCTCATTGGTGCCCTCAGTTTAATCCCCACATGACTTTCTGCACTCGAAACAAAAGTTGTGAATGACTCTTCGATTGCAACATGATCTATTTGATTATCAGAAAGCCCCATGCACTATTCCACCATTTCTTCATACAACCCTCCAAGCCGCCGAACCTTTTCTGGCATCTTCCTTCGGTAGTTGAAATATGAATATTTCATCACCCAATTTTCTCCAACTGTCATAGCTCCGATGACAATAGGGTATAACCTATCAACATTTTTAAAACATTTTGTACTTGGAGAGGGATTTTTTTTTTCAGATAATGGGTTTGTGGTGCAGACAAAAACAATGAGTTCAACAACACTCATAATCAACATTACACTCCATATAATTAGTTCCTTGAAATAAATACTTCTAGGGGTAGGATTACTACCCCTAGAAGCTAGGTAAGATACGGAACCCCAGAAAACAAGACTAACAAGGTTGACAAAGTTATGGAGAAGAATAGCAACACAACTCATCCATATATCTTCCACCATAGTATCTAAAAAGATACTAATGAACCATACAAGTGTATACACACCTAAAAGACAAACTGAAAAGTCAACATATTTTTTTTTCCACGACATGAAAAGTCCACATAAAACACAAAAACAAAGAATCAAACCGAAAACAAGTAGTAAGACTGTTGCTACTGGACCCATCTACAGGATTGAAGAGTAAGAGATATGTTCAGTCTAAGTGAGAGCAGTAGTATATATAGTGAGCAGTGTTATAAATGGGGTATATATAGTTAGGGTTCAATGTACGGTTGTTTTCTCATTTTCAAAGGTTTGGAAGTTGAAACAAAAAATACGGAGTATCACACTTGATACACAAATGATAATAAAAATAAACTCTATAATTTACGAGTTAATTTACACTAAGGTAGGCTTAGGCTCAGCAATAGAGTACCCTATAGCAATAGAGTACACTAAGGCCGTATTTTTGTAGGGTAGCTGATAGGGACCCAACGCAGGTCGGCAGGTAGCAAGGTGGTGAAGACCTATCTCGTCCGCAACTCAAACCAATTTAAACTAAATTTCTGAAAAAATAATAATTTAAAATAACAGTTGTCAAAGAATGAGAATTACTTCATAGTTTCTTTGAAAAAAATAAATACTTAGTAAGAAATAAGGGAATTGGTTTAACCAACTAAAACGTAAAAACCAAATCCGTAAACCCAACTGTAAAGTGCTTTTAACTTTTTTTAAATGATTTAGTAAAAAAGTGATTAATAGTAAAAGTTGGTAGTGCTTGAGAAAAAAGTGATTTTGAAAAGTAAAAGTTGGTGGTGTTTGGTAAATTAAATGTTTTTTGTGTAATAGAAAAAGTAAAAAACACATAACGCTGAGATAAACACATTCGAGTAGATCACTAGACCACAACTGAATGAAAAAGTAAGAAACTAATACTGCTGACTACTACCTCACTACCTCACAGTGTTTACACCTCCGCCATTCCACGACTTCTTATCTCCTCACTTTTGGGTCTGGGAGGTTGCCTCTCTCGACATTCCAGTACCGGCGGTGGCAAACTCCTTGTGCGTGGGAGGCTTCCAACTTCTTGCAGTGAGCTTCCATCCCCAAACACTGCAATCTCTTGTCCAGCTTCCGGCACAATCTCTGTTTCAGCTTCTGGCACAATCTCTGTTTCAGCTTCCGGCACAATCCCTGGATCTGCAACTTCCTCCGTCACACTCTCTAGTGCTTCCGGCAGCCTCATTGGTGCCCTCAGTTTAATCCCCACATGACTTTCTGCACTCGAAACAAAAGTTGTGAATGACTCTTCGATTGCAACATGATCTATTTGATTATCAGAAAGCCCCATGCACTATTCCACCATTTCTTCATACAACCCTCCAAGCCGCCGAACCTTTTCTGGCATCTTCCTTCGGTAGTTGAAATATGAATATTTCATCACCCAATTTTCTCCAACTGTCATAGCTCCGATGACAATAGGGTATAACCTATCAACATTTTTAAAACATTTTGTACTTGGAGAGGATTTTTTTTTCAGATAATGGGTTTGTGGTGCAGGCAAAAACAATGAGTTCAACAACACTCATAATCAACATTACACTCCATATAATTAGTTCCTTGAAATAAATTCTTCTAGGGGTAGGATTACTACCCCTAGAAGCTAGGTAAGATACGGAACCCCAGAAAACAAGACTAACAAGGTTGACAAAGTTATGGAGAAGAATAGCAACACAACTCATCCATATATCTTCCACCATAGTATCTAAAAAGATACTAATGAACCATACAAGTGTATACACACCTCAAAGACAAACTGAAAAGTCAACATATTTTTTTTTCCACGAGATGAAAAGTCTACATAAAACACAAAAACAAAGAATCAAACCGAAAACAAGTAGTAAGACTGTTGCTACTGGACCCATCTCAAGGATTGAAGAGTAAGAGATATGTTCAGTCTAAGTGAGAGAAGTAGTATATATAGTGAGCAGTGTTATAAATGGGGTATATATAATTAGGGTTCAATGTACGGTTGTTTTCTCATTTTCAAAGGTTTGGAAGTTGAAACAAAAAATACGGAGTATCACACTTGATACACAAATGATAATAAAAATAAACTCTATAATTTACGAGTTAATTTACACTAAGGTAGGCTTAGGCTCAGCAATAGAGTACCCTATAGCAATAGAGTACACTAAGGCCGTATTTTTTGTAGGGTAGCTGATAGGGACCCAACGCAGGTCGGCATGTAGCAAGGTGGCGAAGACCTATCTCGTCCGCAACTCAAACCAATTTAAACTAAATTTCTGAAAAAATAATAATTTAAAATAACAGTTGTCAAAGAATGAGAATTACTTCATAGTTTCTTTGAAAAAAATAAATACTTAGTAAGAAATAAGGGAATTGGTTTAACCAACTAAAAAGTAAAAACCAAATCCGTAAACCCAACTGGGAAGTGCTTTTAACTTTTTTAAATGATTTAGTAAAAAAGAGATTAATAGTAAAAGTTGGTAGTGCTTGAGAAAAAAGTGATTTTGAAAAGTAAAAGTTGGTGGTGTTTGGTAAATTAAGTGTTTTTTGTCTAATAGAAAAAGTAAAAAACACATAACGCTGAGATAAACACATTCGAGTAGATCACTAGACCACAACTGAATGAAAAAGGAAGAAACTAATACTGCTGACTACTACCTCACTACCTCACAGTGTTTACACCTCCGCCATTCCACGACTTCTTATCTCCTCACTTTTGGGTCTGGGAGGTTGCCTCTCTCGACATTCCAGTACCGGCAGTGGCAAACTCCTTGTGCGTGGGAGGCTAACAACTTCTTGCAGTGAGCTTCCATCCCCAAACATTGCAATCTCTTGTCCAGCTTCTGGCACAATCTTTGTTTCAGCTTCTGGCACAATCTCTGTTTCAGCTTCCGGCACAATCCCTGGATCTGCAACTTCCTCCGTCACACTTTCTAGTGCTTCCGGCAGCCTCATTGGTGCCCTCAGTTTAATCTCCACATGACTTTCTGCACTCGAAACAAAAGTTGTGAATGACTCTTCGATTGCAACATGATATATTTGATTATCAGAAAGCCCCATGCACTATTCCACCATTTCTTCATACAACCCTCCAAGCCGCCGAACCTTTTCTGGCATCTTCCTTCGGTAGCTGAAATCTGAATATTTCATCACCCAGTTTTCTCCAACTGTCATAGCTCCGATGACAATAGGGTATAACCTATCAACATTTTTAGAACATTTTGTACTTGGAGAGAGATTTTTTTTTTTCAGATAATGGGTTTGTGGTGCAGACAAAAACAATGAGTTCAACAACACTCATAATCAACATTACACTCCATATAATTAGTTCCTTGAAATAAATTCTTCTAGGGGTAGGATTACTACCCCTAGAAGCTAGGTAAGATACGGAACCCCAGAAAACAAGACTAACAAGGTTGACAAAGTTATGGAGAAGAATAGCAACACAACTCATCCATATATCTTCCACCATAGTATCTAAAAAGATACTAATGAGCCATACAAGTGTATACACACCTAAAAGACAAACTGCAAAGTCAACATATTTTTTCTTTCCACGAGATGAAAAGTCCACATAAAACACAAAAACAAAGAATCAAACCGAAAACAAGTAGTAAGACTGTTGCTACTGGACCCATCTCAAGGATTGAAGAGTAAGAGATATGTTCAGTCTAAGTGAGAGCAGTAGTATATATAGTGAGCAGTGTTATAAATGGGGTATATATAGTTAGGGTTCAATGTACGGTTGTTTTCTCATTTTCAAAGGTTTGGAAGTTGAAACAAAAAATACGGAGTATCACACTTGATACACAAATGATAATAAAAATAAACTCTATAATTTACGAGTTAATTTACACTAAGGTAGGCTTAGGCTCAACAATAGAGTACCCTATAGAAATAGAGTACACTAAGGCCGTATTTTTGTAGGGTAGCTGATAGGGACCCAACGCAGGTCGGCAGGTAGCAAGGTGGCGAAGACCTATCTCGTCCGCAACTCAAACCAATTTAAAATAAATTTCTGAAAAAATAATAATTTAAAATAACAGTTGTCAAAGAATGAGAATTACTTCATAGTTTCTTTGAAAAAAATAAATACTTAGTAAGAAATAAGGGAATTGGTTTAACCAACTAAAAAGTAAAAACCAAATCCGTAAACCCAACTGGGAAGTGCTTTTAACTTTTTTAAATGATTTAGTAAAAAAGTGATTAATAGTAAAAGTTGGTAGTGCTTGATAAAAAAGTGATTTTGAAAAGTAAAAGTTGGTGGTGTTTGGTAAATTAAGTGTTTTTTGTCTAATAGAAAAAGTAAAAAACACATAACGCCGAGATAAACACATTCGAGTAGATCACTAGACCACAACTGAATGAAAAAGGAAGAAACTAATACTGCTGACTACTACCTCACTACCTCACAGTGTTTACACCTCCGCCATTCCACGACTTCTTATCTCCTCACTTTTGGGTCTGGGAGGTTGCCTCTCTCGACATTCCAGTACCGGCAGTGGCAAACTCCTTGTGCGTGGGAGGCTTCCAACTTCTTGCAGTGAGCTTCCATCCCCAAACATTGCAATCTCTTGTCCAGCTTCTGGCACAATCTTTGTTTCAGCTTCTGGCACAATCTCTGTTTCAGCTTCCGGCACAATCCCTGGATCTGCAACTTCCTCCGTCACACTCTCTAGTGCTTCCGGCAGCCTCATTGGTGCCCTCAGTTTAATCCCCACATGACTTTCTGCACTCGAAACAAAAGTTGTGAATGACTCTTCGATTGCAACATGATCTATTTGATTATCAGAAAGCCCCATGCACTATTCCACCATTTCTTCATACAACCCTCCAAGCCGCCGAACCTTTTCTGGCATCTTCCTTCGGTAGTTGAAATCTGAATATTTCATCACCCAGTTTTCTCCAACTGTCATAGCTCTGATACTCGTACTTACACCACTATATTACGATCTATTTTAAGTGCGAGAAAACACACATCAGTTTTTTGCGCCGTTGCCGGGGACGGTGTCGGTTTTAAGGGTTAATTAATTTCAGCGAGATTTTTTAGTTAGTTTTCTTTTAGTTTTTTCGTAGGATTTTTTCTGTGCTAACCTTTCAGGTAATTTCTAAGAGGCATGAGATGAACCTATTCAGCCAAATTCCTGGAGGAATTCCTTACTCTCAAACCTCCATGGAATATTCACCATATACGCCATACCCTCCTTACACTCCTCCTCCTCCTCCTCCTCCTCAATATTACACATCTCATCAAAATTATTCTCCTACACATAATTTAGGATATACGCCTTATCGCTCGTCTTGACAATAATTTAGGATCCTGTCGCATGAGAGATCAGCCTGGTCCCCTAAATTATTGTACTCTACGCCGCGAGAGCGGTAAGAACTTAGTAATGATTAGCTAGGCTCAATTAAATTAATTTCATGTAATTAGGCCTGATTTGCCAGAAATCTGGTTACCCCGGAATCGATCCCTGTTCCCTTCGTCATTAATTAGAAAGAACCCCCTAGGTTAATTGTTCGCGTTAGTTTTATTTTCCAAACCAACCAATCTCGCACGACGCTTTTATTTTATTTTCTTTTTAATCGCTGAATTTAGTTAATCTTTAATTCCCTTTTGTCGCTGATTGTGTTGCAGAAATATCTTCAGCTCAGGGGTCTTTTATGTTGACTTTTCATCTCGTGGAAAAAAAAATATGTTGACTTTTCAGTTTGTCTTTTAGGTGTGTATACACTTGTATGGTTCATTAGTATCTTTTTAGATACTATGGTGGAAGATATATGGATGAGTTGTGTTGCTATTCTTCTCCATAACTTTGTCAACCTTGTTAGTCTTGTTTTCTGGGGTTCCGTATCTTACCTAGCTTCTAGGGGTAGTAATCCTACCCCTAGAAGAATTTATTTCAAGGAACTAATTATATAAAGTGTAATGTTGATTATGAGTGTTGTTGAACTCATTGTTTTTGTCTGCACCACAAACCCATTATCTGAAAAAAAAATCCCTCTCCAAGTACAAAATGTTTTAAAAATGTTGATAGGTTATACTCTATTGTCATCGGAGCTATGACAGTTGGAGAAAACTGTTGGTTGTGTTTCGGAAAATAAAGAAAATTAATTAAAATAAATTAATTAAATAAAATGACGAAAGAAAACAAGAAAAGAGATGGAACAGAATTTGTCAAAGCTCGTGCTACGCACGGTGTCCTTAAAACGTATTTGTTGCCTCCCACGGTGCTAGGAGCGTTGCAACAATAGTTTCCCAGGATACGATGACAACGAACTAATGTTTGAGCACACAAACAAGAGTTCCAACGAACGAGAACAAAGACTGAACACAAAGGGAATTTTCCGAATGCTGGAGGGTGTTTTTGAGGTGCAAAACGTGAATGGAGTGTCTAAATTCGTGTGTTGTTGCAAACCACCTGCCAGCCATTATATAGGAGGATTTGTTGTATGAAAATAGTGAATTAATGGACCTGAACGTTGGACATCAATGACCAGTCCGTTGGGCATCGAATTGTCCATGAACTGTCCATTTAACACTGCATTAAAAGATATAAACGTTGGGCATTTATTGCTGTAACGGTTCAGAAGCCATCAGAAGACCCCTACGTAGTTCTGCCCGAAGGCCATCAGAACTGGAGCAGTTCTGATGCGCGGTCATCAGAACAGAACCGGAGCATCTCTGCCCGAAGGCCATCAGAACTGGAGCAGTTCTGATGCGCGGTCATCAGAACCGGAGCACCTCTGGTCGTGGCCTTCTGCCCGGAGCAATTCTGTCAACTTGGGAAAAATTACACGTTTCGGGAAGAAAACAAAAATTAATCGTATCTCTTGAGAGATAGATTTTTGGACGACATTCGTGTCCGCAGGTCGCCCGCGCACACAAGTCGCGGTTTTTCTTCTCCGAATTCGGGATTTGATTTGCACCCCCACCCTGCGCGCGCGGAGAGAGCCTTTACCCTTAAGAATCTTAACTCCATAAGGGAGGAGTCCCTTTATAAAGGGTAGCAAATCCCTTGGGTTTTCCGGTGTGGGAAATTAACACACTAGAAACTCATCCTTTTTCCCTTCTAACGGGTAAACTTCGAAAAGCGATTTCTCATTCACCCGTTATCCGTTTTGAGCGTACCATATATCGAATTGTAGCTCTTAACAAGGACAATCTGAAACCACTTTGACCCGACCCAAATCGGAAGTGGACCCCACTCAAAAAATTGCCCCAAAATAGCCATTTAATGCAATTTTTCACACATTTTTCCAACAAAAACCGGGTGATGAAATATTCAGATTTCAACTACCGAAGGAAGATGCCAGAAAAGGTTCGGCGGCTTGGAGGGTTGTATGAAGAAATGGTGGAATAGTGCATGGGGCTTTCTGATAATCAAATAGATCATGTTGCAATCGAAGAGTCATTCACAACTTTTGTTTCGAGTGCAGAAAGTCATGTGGGGATTAAACTGAGGGCACCAATGAGGCTGCCGGAAGCACTAGAGAGTGTGACGGAGGAAGTTGCAGATCCAGGGATTGTGCCGGAAGCTGAAACAGAGATTGTGCCAGAAGCTGAAACAAAGATTGTGCCAGAAGCTGGACAAGAGATTGCAATGTTTGGGGATGGAAGCTCACTGCAAGAAGTTGGAAGCCTCCCACGCACAAGGAGTTTGCCACTGCCGGTACTGGAATGTCGAGAGAGGCAACCTCCCAGACCCAAAAGTGAGGAGATAAGAAGTCGTGGAATGGCGGAGGTGTAAACACTGTGAGGTAGTGAGGTAGTAGTCAGCAGTATTAGTTTCTTCCTTTTTCATTCAGTTGTGGTCTAGTGATCTACTCGAATGTGTTTATCTCAGCGTTATGTGTTTTTTACTTTTTCTATTAGACAAAAAACACTTAATTTACCAAACACCACCAACTTTTACTTTTCAAAATCACTTTTTTCTCAAGCACTACCAACTTTTACTATTAATCACTTTTTTACTAAATCATTTAAAAAAGTTAAAAGCACTTCCCAGTTGGGTTTACGGATTTGGTTTTTACTTTTTAGTTGGTTAAACCAATTCCCTTATTTCTTACTAAGTATTTATTTTTTTCAAAGAAACTATGAAGTAATTCTCATTCTTTGACAACTGTTATTTTAAATTATTATTTTTTCAGAAATTTATTTTAAATTGGTTTGAGTTGCGGACGAGATAGGTCTTCGCCACCTTGCTACCTGCCGACCTGCGTTGGGTCCCTATCAGCTACCCTACAAAAAATACGGCCTTAGTGTACTCTATTGCTATAGGGTACTCTATTGCTGAGCCTAAGCCTACCTTAGTGTAAATTAACTCGTAAATTATAGAGTTTATTTTTATTATCATTTGTGTATCAAGTGTGATACTCCGTATTTTTTGTTTCAACTTCCAAACCTTTGAAAATGAGAAAACAACCGTACATTGAACCCTAACTATATATACCCCATTTATAACACTGCTCACTATATATACTACTGCTCTCACTTAGACTGAACATATCTCTTACTCTTCAATCCTTGAGATGGGTCCAGTAGCAACAGTCTTACTACTTGTTTTTGGTTTGATTCTTTGTTTTTGTGTTTTATGTGGACTTTTCATCTCGTGGAAAAAAAAATATGTTGACTTTTCAGTTTGTCTTTTAGGTGTGTATACACTTGTATGGTTCATTAGTATCTTTTTAGATACTATGGTGGAAGATATATGGATGAGTTGTGTTGCTATTCTTCTCCATAACTTTGTCAACCTTGTTAGTCTTGTTTTATGGGGTTCCGTATCTTACCTAGCTTCTAGGGGTAGTAATCCTACCCCTAGAAGAATTTATTTCAAGGAACTAATTATATGGAGTGTAATGTTGATTATGAGTGTTGTTGAACTCATTGTTTTTGTCTGCACCACAAACCCATTATCTGAAAAAAAAAATCCCTCTCCAAGTACAAAATGTTTTAAAAATGTTGATAGGTTATACGCTATTGTCATCGGAGCTATGACAGTTGGAGAAAACTGGGTGATGAAATATTCATATTTCAACTACCGAAGGAAGATGCCAGAAAAGGTTCGGCGGCTTGGAGGGTTGTATGAAGAAATGGTGGAATAGTGCATGGGGCTTTCTGATAATCAAATAGATCATGTTGCAATCGAAGAGTCATTCACAACTTTTGTTTCGAGTGCAGAAAGTCATGTGGGGATTAAACTGAGGGCACCAATGAGGCTGCCGGAAGCACTAGAGAGTGTGACGGAGGAAGTTGCAGATCCAGGGATTGTGCCGGAAGCTGAAACAGAGATTGTGCCAGAAGCTGAAACAGAGATTGTGCCGGAAGCTGGACAAGAGATTGCAGTGTTTGGGGATGGAAGCTCACTGCAAGAAGTTGGAAGCCTCCCACGCACAAGGAGTTTGCCACTGCCGGTACTGGAATGTCGAGAGAGGCAACCTCCCAGACCCAAAAGTGAGGAGATAAGAAGTCGTGGAATGGCGGAGGTGTAAACACTGTGAGGTAGTGAGGTAGTAGTCAGCAGTATTAGTTTCTTCCTTTTTCATTCAGTTGTGGTCTAGTGATCTACTCGAATGTGTTTATCTCAGCGTTATGTGTTTTTTACCTTTTCTATTAGACAAAAAACACTTAATTTACCAAACACCACCAACTTTTACTTTTCAAAATCACTTTTTTCTAAAGCACTACCAACTTTTACTATTAATCACTTTTTTACTAAATCATTTAAAAAAGTTAAAAGCACTTCCCAGTTGGGTTTACGGATTTGGTTTTTACTTTTTAGTTGGTTAAACCAATTCCCTTATTTCTTACTAAGTATTTATTTTTTTCAAAGAAACTATGAAGTAATTCTCATTCTTTGACAACTGTTATTTTAAATTATTATTTTTTCAGAAATTTATTTTAAATTGGTTTGAGTTGCGGACGAGATAGGTCTTCGCCACCTTGCTACCTGCCGACCTGCGTTGGGTCCCTATCAGCTACCCTACAAAAAATACGGCCTTAGTGTACTCTATTGCTGAGCCTAAGCCTACCTTAGTGTAAATTAACTCGTAAATTATAGAGTTTATTTTTATTATCATTTGTGTATCAAGTGTGATACTCCGTATTTTTTGTTTCAACTTCCAAACCTTTGAAAATGAGAAAACAACCGTACATTGAACCCTAACTATATATACCCCATTTATAACACTGCTCACTATATATACTACTGCTCTCACTTAGACTGAACATATCTCTTACTCTTCAATCCTTGAGATGGGTCCAGTAGCAACAGTCTTACTACTTGTTTTTGGTTTGATTCTTTGTTTTTGTGTTTTATGTGGACTTTTCATCTCGTGGAAAAAAAAAATGTTGACTTTTCAGTTTGTCTTTTAGGTGTGTATACACTTGTATGGTTCATTAGTATCTTTTTAGATACTATGGTGGAAGATATATGGATGAGTTGTGTTGCTATTCTTCTCCATAACTTTGTCAACCTTGTTAGTCTTGTTTTATGGGGTTCCGTATCTTACCTAGCTTCTAGGGGTAGTAATCCTACCCCTAGAAGAATTTATTTCAAGGAACTAATTATATGGAGTGTAATGTTGATTATGAGTGTTGTTGAACTCATTGTTTTTGTCTGCACCACAAACCCATTATCTGAAAAAAAAAAATCCCTCTCCAAGTACAAAATGTTTTAAAAATGTTGATAGGTTATACGCTATTGTCATCGGAGCTATGACAGTTGGAGAAAACTGGGTGATGAAATATTCATATTTCAACTACCGAAGGAAGATGCCAGAAAAGGTTCGGCGGCTTGGAGGGTTGTATGAAGAAATGGTGGAATAGTGCATGGGGCTTTCTGATAATCAAATATATCATGTTGCAATCGAAGAGTCATTCACAACTTTTGTTTCGAGTGCAGAAAGTCATGTGGAGATTAAACTGAGGGCACCAATGAGGCTGCCGGAAGCACTAGAGAGTGTGACGGAGGAAGTTGCAGATCCAGGGATTGTGCCGGAAGCTGAAACAGAGATTGTGCCAGAAGCTGAAACAGAGATTGTGCCGGAAGCTGGACAAGAGATTGCAGTGTTTGGGGATGGAAGCTCACTGCAAGAAGTTGGAAGCCTCCCACGCACAAGGAGTTTGCCACTGCCGGTACTGGAATGTCGAGAGAGGCAACCTCCCAGACCCAAAAGTGAGGAGATAAGAAGTCGTGGAATGGCGGAGGTGTAAACACTGTGAGGTAGTGAGGTAGTAGTCAGCAGTATTAGTTTCTTCTTTTTTCATTCAGTTGTGGTCTAGTGATCTACTCGAATGTGTTTATCTCAGCGTTATGTGTTTTTTACTTTTTCTATTACACAAAAAACACTTAATTTACCAAACACCACCAACTTTTACTTTTCAAAAAATCACTTTTTTCTCAAGCACTACCAACTTTTACTATTAATCACTTTTTTACTAAATCATTTAAAAAAGTTAAAAGCACTTCCCAGTTGGGTTTACGGATTTGGTTTTTACTTTTTAGTTGGTTAAACCAATTCCCTTATTTCTTACTAAGTATTTATTTTTTTCAAAGAAACTATGAAGTAATTCTCATTCTTTGACAACTGTTATTTTAAATTATTATTTTTTCAGAAATTTATTTTAAATTGGTTTGAGTTGCGGACGAGATAGGTCTTCGCCACCTTGCTACATGCCGACCTGCGTTGGGTCCCTATCAGCTACCCTACAAAAAATACGGCCTTAGTGTACTCTATTGCTATAGGGTACTCTATTGCTGAGCCTAAGCCTACCTTAGTGTAAATTAACTCGTAAATTATAGAGTTTATTTTTATTATCATTTGTGTATCAAGTGTGATACTCCGTATTTTTTGTTTCAACTTCCAAACCTTTGAAAATGAGAAAACAACCGTACATTGAACCCTAACTATATATACCCCATTTATAACACTGCTCACTATATATACTACTGCTCTCACTTAGACTGAACATATCTCTTACTCTTCAATCCTTGAGATGGGTCCAGTAGCAACAGTCTTACTACTTGTTTTCGGTTTGATTCTTTGTTTTTGTGTTTTATGTGGACTTTTCATCTCGTGGAAAAAAAAAATATGTTGACTTTGCAGTTTGTCTTTTGGGTGTGTATACACTTGTATGGTTCATTAGTATCTTTTTAGATACTATGGTGGAAGATATATGGATGAGTTGTGTTGCTATTCTTCTCCATAACTTTGTCAACCTTGTTAGTCTTGTTTTCTGGGGTTCCGTATCTTACCTAGCTTCTAGGGGTAGTAATCCTACCCCTAGAAGAATTTATTTCAAGGAACTAATTATATGGAGTGTAATGTTGATTATGAGTGTTGTTGAACTCATTGTTTTTGTCTGCACCACAAACCCATTATCTGAAAAAAAAATCCCTCTCCAAGTACAAAATGTTTTAAAAATGTTGATAGGTTATACCCTATTGTCATCGGAGCTATGACAGTTGGAGAAAACTGGGTGATGAAATATTCAGATTTCAACTAGCGAAGGAAGATGCCAGAAAAGGTTCGGGTGGAATAGTGCATGGGGCTTTCTGATAATGAAATAGATCATGTTGCAATCGAAGAGTCATTCACAACTTTTGTTTCGAGTGCAGAAAGTCATGTGGGGATTAAACTGAGGGCACCAATGAGGCTGCCGGAAGCACTAGAGAGTGTGACGGAGGAAGTTGCAGATCCAGGGATTGTGCCGGAAGCTGAAACAGAGATTGTGCCAGAAGCTGAAACAAAGATTGTGCCGGAAGCTGGACAAGAGATTGTAGTGTTTGGGGATGGAAGCTCACTGCAAGAAGTTGGAAGCCTCCCACGCACAAGGAGTTTGCCACTGCCGGTACTGGAATGTCGAGAGAGGCAACCTCCCAGACCCAAAAGTGAGGAGATAAGAAGTCGTGGAATGGCGGAGGTGTAAACACTGTGAGGTAGTGAGGTAGTAGTCAGCAGTATTAGTTTCTTCCTTTTTCATTCAGTTGTGGTCTAGTGATCTACTCGAATGTGTTTATCTCAGCGTTATGTGTTTTTTACTTTTTCTATTACACAAAAAACACTTAATTTACCAAACACCACCAACTTTTACTTTTCAAAAAATCACTTTTTTCTCAAGCACTACCAACTTTTACTATTAATCACTTTTTTACTAAATCATTTAAAAAAGTTAAAAGCACTTCCCAGTTGGGTTTACGGATTTGGTTTTTACTTTTTAGTTGGTTAAACCAATTCCCTTATTTCTTACTAAGTATTTATTTTTTTCAAAGAAACTATGAAGTAATTCTCATTCTTTGACAACTGTTATTTTAAATTATTATTTTTTCAGAAATTTATTTTAAATTGGTTTGAGTTGCGGACGAGATAGGTCTTCGCCACCTTGCTACATGCCGACCTGCGTTGGGTCCCTATCAGCTACCCTACAAAAAATACGGCCTTAGTGTACTCTATTGCTATAGGGTACTCTATTGCTGAGCCTAAGCCTACCTTAGTGTAAATTAACTCGTAAATTATAGAGTTTATTTTTATTATCATTTGTGTATCAAGTGTGATACTCCGTATTTTTTGTTTCAACTTCCAAACCTTTGAAAATGAGAAAACAACCGTACATTGAACCCTAACTATATATACCCCATTTATAACACTGCTCACTATATATACTACTGCTCTCACTTAGACTGAACATATCTCTTACTCTTCAATCCTTGAGATGGGTCCAGTAGCAACAGTCTTACTACTTGTTTTCGGTTTGATTCTTTGTTTTTGTGTTTTATGTGGACTTTTCATCTCGTGGAAAAAAAAAATATGTTGACTTTGCAGTTTGTCTTTTGGGTGTGTATACACTTGTATGGTTCATTAGTATCTTTTTAGATACTATGGTGGAAGATATATGGATGAGTTGTGTTGCTATTCTTCTCCATAACTTTGTCAACCTTGTTAGTCTTGTTTTCTGGGGTTCCGTATCTTACCTAGCTTCTAGGGGTAGTAATCCTACCCCTACAAGAATTTATTTCAAGGAACTAATTATATGGAGTGTAATGTTGATTATGAGTGTTGTTGAACTCATTGTTTTTGTCTGCACCACAAACCCATTATCTGAAAAAAAAATCCCTCTCCAAGTACAAAATGTTTTAAAAATGTTGATAGGTTATACCCTATTGTCATCGGAGCTATGACAGTTGGAGAAAACTGGGTGATGAAATATTCAGATTTCAACTAGCGAAGGAAGATGCCAGAAAAGGTTCGGGTGGAATAGTGCATGGGGCTTTCTGATAATCAAATATATCATGTTGCAATCGAAGAGTCATTCACAACTTTTGTTTCGAGTGCAGAAAGTCATGTGGGGATTAAACTGAGGGCACCAATGAGGCTGCCGGAAGCACTAGAGAGTGTGACGGAGGAAGTTGCAGATCCAGGGATTGTGCCGGAAGCTGAAACAGAGATTGTGCCAGAAGCTGAAACAAAGATTGTGCCGGAAGCTGGACAAGAGATTGCAGTGTTTGGGGATGGAAGCTCACTGCAAGAAGTTGGAAGCCTCCCACG